GAGTGGTGACGTTTGAGATTTGCCGTAGTAAAAAAATAGGGTTAGGTTAAGTGGTATTGTCTTTAGTTTAGTAAGTTTCTAATATATACTTAATTATTATTAGTTAATAAAGATTCATTAAAAAAATAAAAAGGCAGTAAAGTGTAAACTAGAAGTGCATAAGTCAAGCAAGCATGATTAATATTAATAATAATGTTTAATTATAATAATAATAATAATAATTTAATGTGTGATTGGAAACTGGAAGGAAAGTGCAAAAGATCTTTGTGTACGTTACAATTTACAAAGTTATAGCAACTTTAAAATTTATAAATAATAATATAATAATAATAATAATAATTAATTATGCCACGTCAACGGGTTGGGTCAACGAGTTCATGGGTTTAGAAACTAAAACCCAATACCCGAACCAAATCTATACGGGTTGTTACGGGTTGGGTCGGGTATACCCGTAAATGAATGGGTCCGGGTAATTAGTGGGTTGGTTCGGTTTGGGTAGGCGGGTTTGCGGGTCGACCCGCACCCATGAACACCCCTACATTTAAATGATATAGAAATAGTTATATAGAAAAAGTACAAAACAAAAAATTAGAATTTGATAAACATACTTGATGAGAATCTCAGAACCCAAATAATACGCCAAACACGTTAAAATATTGGGGTTATGAAAAAAGTGTTATCAAAGAATAATAATGAAAACATAGGAGATTTGGGATCAAAGCAAAGTGAAGATGGAGAAGATATAAGAGAAAAATGAGATATGATGTTTGAAGGTAACTTGTTTATTCAAAGAAGAAGAAGGAAAAGAGGTAAGAAAGTGGAAGAGAAAAAAAGAATAGAGTAAACATTTAATCAAAAATGATGTTTGCAACAAAAAAAAAGATTTAAAATTCAGTTTGACATGACCAGAGTTGATTATAAAAGAATGTAAAGTCACATACGTAATAAAAACATAACTTAGTCATGAAAAGTAAATTTTGAACATATTTTTTTCTCATAAAAGACATGTGGCAGCGTATACGATTAGAGTATAAATGTGTTTTTTAGAACATATAGTTTTCTTATATTATAGATAACAAATAATAAAAAAAAAAAAGGAGTAATGTGCCACCTATGTTTAGAGATATCTTACTGGTTAGTAGTTATGCATGAAATTAAAATCAAACTACAAATCACACTACAAACCTTCTTTTAATTAATGGTCTGTTTGAAACAAGACAAAAGCATGAGAAAGAAATAGATATAAGAGAAATAGGGGAGAGAAAAACCACTTATCTTGTTTGGCACAAAAGAGAAATAAGAAAGAGAGTTAGAATTTGTATGAAATCCACACTTTTTACACTTCTCTCCAAATTGCGAAGAAATGAGAAGAAAATGATTCCACTTTTGCCCTTGTTATTAAGAATGTTTTTTAATCAATACCATCGAGAATGCAAGAATCAAAAGGTATGGCTGAAAGAAATCAATCATCAATTTTTTTTTGTGAAGTTTAAAAATACCAACTAGTATTTATTAAAAAAACAAAAAAATTATTTTGGATATGGTGTATCGGTGGGTATGGGTAATGTTTGTGGGCGAGAATGATTATATTGAAGGAAATAGGATATGGTAGTTTTTTGAGATAATTTAATTATTAACTAATTAAAATAAAAAATATAAATATGTTAAATTAATTAATGGTTAAAATTATTATTTTTAAATCATAAAGTTGAGATTTTATTTTAATGGATTAGTGAAATAAATTAGTTAGTTAAATCAAGTAATAAGTAATTTAATAAATTAATTATTTTTAATTTAGCTAAAAGATTCAATTAATTTAATATTTTTTAAAGAAAAAAACAGGGGTATTTTGATATTTTAAAAAATGATACACACTTCTCTTTCTTCTATTTTTCTTATGTTTTTTTTTTTATCAAACAACACATCAATTCTACTCTCTTTCTCTCTCATCATACTCTTTCTCTCTTCTCAATTTCATCTCGTAGCCAAACACACCCTAAATGAATTTGATGACTTGATTTTTATTAAAGTGCCACGTGTATATCATCTAACGAATGGCCTAGTGATAGTAATTTGCTCTCCAAAGCTGAGGATCCAAACTCCTTCTTCTACCCTGAACCCTCCTCCAGCGCCACATCGACCATCTCAAAACCCTTCCACACTTTCCAGATGAAACGACTCCGTTTTCACCCCCAAATCGCTCATTCACAGCACCCTCTTCACAAACTGATGACATTTTCTCTCATCTTCACCACTTTTCGAATTTCCGATACTGCCCTTGTCACCCACTACCACACTCTCAAACCTAACAAACCCGAAGTATGGTTCGTCAAAATCGTTTCGACGCTCTTTCTTCGCTTCACAAACTCATTCGACGCTACAGTTTCGCGTTACGTTACTAACCACATAACCCCTTCACTTACATTACAAGTTATCAAAAGGCTAAACAATCCTCAATTAGGTTTCAGCTTTTTCCAGTTTACCAAACAAAGATTGAACCTCTCTTATTCATTTTGGACTTACAATTTTCTTCTAAGGTCCCTTTGTCAACAACATCAACATGATTCAGCAAAACTTGTTTATCATTCCATGAGGTCTGATGGGTTGTTGCCTGATAGTAGGTTGTTGGGATTTTTGGTTTCTTCTTTTGCATTTTCTGATAGGTTTGATGTTTCCAAGGAGTTTCTTTGTGATGCATTGTGTAATAAGGTTGATGTAAATGTTGCTGTTTATAATAACTTCCTTAACATTTTGGTTAAATGTAATAGGTTAGATGATGCTGTTTGTTTTTTTAGGGAGCTTGTTAGATTCAATTTCGATATAGATATTTTCACATTCAATATTTTGATCAGAGGTTTTTGCGCTGTTGGAGAAATCGACGAGGCTTTTAGGTTTTTGAATGATATGACAAGTTTTGGTTGTTATCCCGATGTTGTTAGTTATAATACTCTTATACATGGTTTATGTAGAATAAATGAGGTTGATAGAGCAAGAGATTTAGTTAGAGAGATTTGTTTAAGAAGTGAGTTTTCTCCTAATGTTTTGAGTTATACGATAGTGATATCGGGTTGTTGCAAATTGAGTAAGATGAAGGAGGCTTCTTCTATTTTCGATGAAATGGTTACGTCTAGAGTTAAGCCCAGTGTCACTACTTTTAATGCGCTTATCTATGGATTTGTTAAGGCAGGTGACATGGCATCTGCACTAGGAATGCATAAGAGGATGCTTTTTCATGGTTGTTCTCCTGATGTTGTTACTTTCACTTTGTTAATTGATGGATACTGCCGAGTTGGACAGTTGAACTACGGTTTGGAACTTTGGAATGAAATGAAAGCGAGAAATGTTTCTGCAAATTTGTATACTTTCTCTATTCTTATTAGTGCTATGTGCAGGAGCAATAGACTACAAGAAGCTCGTGAGTTTCTAAGACTATTGAATCAGAGTGACATTGTTCCACAACCATTTATCTACAATCCGGTCATTGATGGATATTGCAAATCCGGCAATGTTGATGAAGCTAATGCAATTGTGGTAGATATGGAGAAGAAATGTAAACCGGATAAACTGACATTTACTATTCTTATTATTGGTCATTGTATGAAAGGAAGAGCACCCGAAGCAATTGGTATCTTTTACAAGATGTTGGCGACCGGTTGTTCACCAGATGAAGTTACTATTAGAACTTTAAGTTCATGCCTTTTGAAGTCTGGAATGCCGAGTGAAGCTGCCCACATTAAGGAAGCTCTATTTAAGAATCAAAGTATAAATTCATATATGCAGCAGTCTCGTTATTAAATTGCTACCGAAAATCAGTGATTAGCCATTGCCGTCCACCGTTTTCCCTTGAGAAAACACATTCATCAAGCAGCATGCCAATATTTTCTCTAGATTATCAACAAGGGAGTCAGAATTGGCAATTTTCCCAAGATTATGCTGATGTTGCTGGAGCATGCAGGTAAGCATGCTGCAAATTGTTGATTTATTTCTCTCTATTCCTCATTTTTTACTATGCAATTTTAGTTGACAGTCTTGTTCAATTGTAGAGATATTACCTAAGAGTACATCAAATTCTTCCTGAAAGAAATAAAAATTACTGAAATATGGAATGCTTGCTCATTGAAATTTTCTAGTATAGAATGTTATAAATTCTGTAAAAGCATAGGAAGATTATTATGACGATTTGCACTGACAAACATTTAAAAAAAAAGGTCGGAAGGAAATTCCCAGGCTTAAGAGGTTGGCGATATTTGTTAGGACCCCATATGGGGTGTGGGTCTAAGTGGGCTCAACACACCAACTTATCAATATCATGCTATCTTGGTAGCTTTTTGTTAGAGGAGAGAGTAGCTAGAGGTCAATGCAGACGTACCCCGAGCGAGGACGATGGGGGAACTGCCTCAACAAATTGTTGTCTCTTTCTTTACGTTTATATTGCTTAAATTCTGAGTTTTAAGTGCAAACAGTTGTGTTAATCAAATTCTGATTTGAGTAGTGCTGAATTATTTTTTAAGCTTGTTACAATCCTTGATTGTAAATAGAACACTTGAGCATTTTATTCTCATAATAGAATTCACTTGTTACTCTATGGAGGAAGTAGGAGACAATAATATTTGAGAAATAAAATTGAAGGTTATAACTCTTGCGATTCGCAAACCATAACTATGCACCCTTCTAATTTGAAATCTGACTCTGTAGGTCAGTACACCCGTAGTGGAAACTAGGAGCTTGTTTCAAATATTGCTGATATTTCAATAAAGGAAGAATCTTCAAATGCAAGTAGTAGTAATCACAACAATGGTGGTTTCTTATGTAAGGATGGTTTAGCCAATGATTCTTCCAACTCTAAAAAGGAGGGAACAGTTGGTTCTTTGTCTTTCAGTGTAATCAGCACAGCAACTCCTTCAACTCAAAGCGATACTAAGAATTTGCCAGAACAAAAGAATTCTCTTTAAAAGCCAACAGTTCGAGCCAAAGTTCCTTTTGAGAAGGGTTATAGTCAAATGGACTGGCTCAAGCTTACTCGAACTCATCCCGATCTTGCAGGTGCAGTCATTCTGCTGACCCTTTTTTTATAAAAACATTTTCTCATTACTTATGAGTTTTGGAAGACAACAATATCTAAAAGAGTGAATAGATGCTGGTTGATTATTATAGTTGAAACTTGAATATAAACTACATGCTGTCAGTTTCTGCACACACTTACTGTCCAAATTTCCAATCCTTATGTTAGTATGACCCAAGCTGATGGCCAATACCAATGGTTGACAAAAGCTATGTGTTGTGTATTTTATATAATCTATACTCTACACCAAATTTGGCCTTTAGAATTCAATGATCGGTCTTAGTTATGACACATACATAGGTGTGCTCAGGCACCTCGAAATATTTTTCAAATATATATTTTTGTCCAAGGTTGTTGAATTCACCCGAGGACCGACGATGCCATGTCTCTTTCTGTCTGATTTTCATTTCTTAGTTGTTTCCTGCTTTTTTCTTCCTCTTAGTACACACTCCTTTTGTTTTTCTTCCTTTTCTTGTTTAGCTTGTGGGCTTGTTTTTAATACATTTTATTTTTTTTCTCTTTCAATCAATGGGTGGTCTTTGATGCAAACCTGGATTGTAGAAACAATTAATGGAAGAAAACAGATCAGTAATAGAAAAACAATGAGCGGGTTATTTTTGGAAGTGTAAAATAACTGCAATTGCTCTCAGAGCCAAGCTACTAAAGAGAATAATGTTTTCTTTCCATAACTAAACAAGTGCTTTCCAAAAGACACCCCTTCACATTCCCTCATATTCCAGTATAGTAGAACTCATCACGCAATTCATAGGCTCCTTCACTTCCTGCCAAGTTAGTATTCCCAATCTGATTCCTCCTAGCATAGATTGACCACCTGATGGGATTGGACAACATACATGCTAACAAACCTTCTGTGCCCATATTCTCCTTTGGGATCCTATGAGTTTACCCCTACTTTTGGTTTCAATCTCCTTCACTAAATTGGAACTGCTTTTCTCTCCATTCTTCCTAATCGACGCTGACATTCTGTCGAAAGTAAAAATAATCTTATTTTTCTTGTCCATTTGGGCAAATTGTTTCTACTTCAAGTTATAGTAATTCTTTTACTAAACTGAACTCCATGTCTGACAAAAAAGTTTGTTTTATTTTTAAGATGCTATTTGCAAATAGTATTTTTATGTTGAGTTTTCGGTGGTCACTTGTTTCTTTGAACTTAATAGTTCTTGTCATTACATATTTTTAAGAATAAAAGGTGATATGCTATTTGTTAACATCATCTCTGTTGATCCAGGTCTAAAAGGACAGTCAAACAGGAGACTTATATTGATGGATGAAGTTAGAAAACACAAATTAGAAGGCGAAATGTGGACGGTATTAAAAGGCCGTGTTTACAATATATCACCATATATGAAGTTTCACCCTGGAGGTACAGTTATCAGCTCAATCATCATGTTCATATATGACATTTTATTATTCATGTTACTGTTCGTTAAAATTATATATGCATTTGGTTGGTGAAAAATCAGGTGTTGATATGTTGATGAAAGTCATTGAAGATAGAACAGTTATATTATAATTATGAATAATCACATGAACCTACCCTTGGCTCAAGTCGTTATATCTCTTTTTGGGCCCTCTTCTATTTAATGGGCAATAGTCATCATTCAATAAGGAACAAATTCTATACATATGTTTAAAGAAACCCAATGGGAGCTTGTTATACAATTACTGGTGAGTAAGCTATTCTGGAATCTGAAATTTTGGATTAGCAATGTGATATTTACTAAATGTTTCTTGACTTTGTTAATGTGATATTTCCGTGTCTGTTCTTTTACATACTGATAGTGTTTTACAGTAAGGGGCAGAGTGTAAGTAATGGCGCGCTGCATGTATAATTACAATGTATTTTAACAGTGTATTCTCCCAATATGCTTAAATCTGTCAAAATATACTGTTGGAACTATCAAAATATATTACCAGAAACATGTTTCCAGGAAACCCTCCGGTGTCTGGAGGTGGATTTAGAAAGTCTCTTTATTTGAGAGAGACATAGTTCACGTGGGCAAAACTGCGATGCCTGTGAGTAGGGGTGGCAACTGAATCATATATGGACGAGGCTTAAGCCTTTAAGGGATATCGCGGATGTGTATTGTGTACCCTAGGTTGTATTAAATTAGTGACAATAAAGACACTATAATATTGAACATGGGCCGGTGGAGTGAAGAGTTTAAGTGGAGACAACTTTTTTTTTCAGGGAGGAAGCGATTACAAAAGAGTTGGAAGATATCCTCATTAACATAGATGATAAGTTTATTTGGATTAAAAACGATGACTTTACGGACAAATCTTATTATGAGTATTTATTAAAAACAACCCAGGTTGCTGTATCGAAAGATAACAAATTGTTATCATTTGCAAGCTCAGGAAGTGTTTTCGATCCTTCGAATATTCTTGTGTTAAGTTGGCTGTGTGATTTTGGAATGGATAGCAACAAGGAATGATCTTGGAATGGATAGCAACAAGGAATGATCTCTATAATGGGAAGTGATCGACACATTTTTATAGTCAACGTATTATGCAAGATGTTATGATATGTTGAGACACATCTACGCGTTCAAAACAAGTCGCAAAGATGTGGTGTCAAATGTCTCACACTGATGGAACATTCTGCACCAGAAGCTATTGACAGAAGCTATTGTATTTCATCAAGATTAAATAGTAGATATGTTTTCTTATTTGTCTGGAATTATAAAATAATTCATAAAAACAACAGATCAAGACCAATCAATGATTGTGATTTAATTTATAAAAGATTGAAAATCAAATTAAAACCATCTGAATTTCTGCCTTTTAAAACTTTCCTTCTGCAGCATGTTTTGCAAACCCTAAGATCAAGTTGCACCTATAATGTTTGGTTATTTAAAGGATTAAGAAGACATTTTCTGTTCATTTGAGTTTTTGGTTTACATTGTAACACTATTCATTATTGATTCCTATACTAAGGAATAGATTTGTGTCGATGAGCCGTACTTGTCAAACATTAGTGATAGTTGTTTAGAGAAAGTGAGAGGGATTTCATATTTAAGAGAGTTTTAAATAGAAATTCATAGATAGTATTAAGAAAAAAAGGTATTGAACGACAAGAATTCATCTAAGACTAATTTGTACTTTTATTATTAAGAGTGATTTTTATTTCTTGAGTTAATATCATTTAATTGTAGGTATTATTATACCAAACTGAATTACTAATATTTTGTGTTTAATTTTTATTTGTAATTTTATTGTTACTGTAGTGTTCACATTGTCCACACATTGTGTTTGATATTTTTTAAGAGGAAAATAAAATCTCTAATGTTCTTGACAAGACATATAACCAATCATTATAGTTCTTCTTGTTATTTCTTAACCCTAACCTTTGTGTGTTTCTTGATCATAAAGAAACCGAATATATTTTATTTTAAGACATCTTAATTAATTCACAACAGGTATCAACTATTTTTTTTACTCATTCACTTAGAACCAAACTTAACATAATACACATTACCGATTTAAGAGTATTAGAGAATAATTTTTTCTTGATTATTTTTTTTATTTCTGTTATTTTTTTTAAAGAATTCAGTTTACCTTCTTAATTTTTATTAAACATATTCTCTAGTACTCCAATCCCAAACTTAAAACATTTCTAATTCTAAGAGTAAGCTCAAACTTAAACCTTTATAACTTCAAAGAAAAATATAAACATTTTACCTAAATCTAAAAAGGGTGGAGAAATTAAATATTTTAGCTAATTGGATGTGCTAAACCTGGCTCTCATTCTCACCTTTTTATTCTTTTCAAATTGAATAATGTGGTCATCATTGAATCAACATACAAAAGTCATTTTGCAATGAATTTGAATTTTTTAAAACAATTAATTAAAATTAGTATTCAAATACACACTTTTTTAGATTTTACAAGTTGTAACAAAACTATGTCAAGGGTGGATATAATTGGATAATAGGATTAAATTTTAGAGTTAGATATCAACTACTCTTTTTTTTTTTATCTATTCAATTAGAACCAAACTTAACATAATACACATTACCGATTCAAGAGTATTAGATATGAATTATTCTTAATTCTTTTTTTTATTTTTATTATTTTTTTTAAGAATTCATTTTACCTTCTTTATTTTTATATTTTTATTAAACATGTTCTATAATATTGAAATCCAAAACTTAAAACGTTTCTAATTCTAAGAGCAACCTCAAACTTAAACTTTTATATTATCAAAGAAAAATATAAAAAATTTACCTAAATCCAAAAAGAGTGGAAAGATTAATAGGTTAAGCCAATTGACTTAAAATGTGGCTAAGTCACTGTACAAAAGGTTTCAAATTCAATGGGTTTAAACATATAATAATTGTCATAAAGGTTGGCTTGAATATATATTTTTTAATTTCTTCAAGTGTGTAAACTAAACAGACTAATAAACCATTCAGAAAGGTCGCAAGTTCTAGAAAATAAATAATTCTATCAATACTCTTTATAAGAAGGAAAAAGTAAATAGTAAAATTTTGGCTCAAAATTTACTTGAGGTATTTGAACATTGAGTATATATCCGTTAGATTTCATGCAGTCAAAACTTTAGTAGCAATCTCTCTCTCTCTCTCTCTCTCTCTCTCTCTCTCTCTCTCTCTCTCTCTCTCTCTCTCTCTCTCTCTCTCTCTCTCTCTCTCTCTCTCTCTCTCTCTCTCTCTCTCTCTCTCTCTCTCTCTCTCTCTCTCTCTCTCTCTCTCTCTCTCTCTCTCTCTCTCTCTCTCTCTCTCTCTCTCTCTCTCTCTCTCTCTCTCTCTCTCTCTCGTTATTTCTTTTGTTATTATGGCATCACTAGTAAAGAACCAATGTTGTTAATTGGAACGGTTTTTTTTAAGGAGATAATCAGTTTATTAATTTTAAATAACATACAAGTTGGCAAAAAGAGAAAAGCAAAATAAAACAAAAAATTAAATTCCACAAATATGTGGGTTGTCTCTCGCATAATGCTTCTTTAGGGTTCCTAGCTTAACCGTTTGATCCCCTAATTAGATGCTTTCTTCAAACTTGTATCAGTCTATCGAATTAGTTTAAAAATTTTCATCAAACTTAATCTTATACATACAGTTGGTTGTATTTCTCCCCTTCAAATCGAACATGTTCCATCCATGTGCTCCCTTATTCATTCTCAACACTCTTATAAACTTCTCTTTCTTCAAATTAGATAAAGAACTACTAATGAGATAAGGTGGTATCAGTTGTTCTCTCAAGAAAATATGCTTTAGATGTGTAAGGAGTTCTTTCAGAAATGAAAACTATCTTAAGTTTCAAAAATTCAAATTCACCATTTCTTTGAATTTCTCTACAAATTCTTCATCCATTCTCCATCAACACACCATTTCCAAGCTTTTGTATGCGTTAGCTAGCTTTTGAAGCCATTACATTGCTCAGTCCAGATTCATCTTCTTCGCAAGACAAGCTGATTTGGTTGGAGTGATTCAGCAAGATTCAAAGCAAATTACTCACATATTCATACTCCTGGTACTTCAGTGAAGCTTCTCCAATATTTTTTTTATCAAATCCTTGGCTAAGAAGAGGCATCAGACCTACTCCAATAGGTACTTTTGTGAGCATCTCGATCTCTAACATTTCAACATCATTTCACTCATTTATTGTTACAAATCTGTTGCTGACGATTGCATGTACTAAAGCCCTAACTTGTTAGGCGTTGATTCTTGATCATTGTAATTTAATTTTTGTTTGAATATCCTAGGGTTTCTGCGTATTCACTTGATTGCATGAGTTTGAGTTTGATTTAGTAGAAACTAGTTGCATTTTTTAATTCTACGTGAAGTTCTGAGTAAGATGATGTAGTCACTTATGATTTCTGGAAATATCATCACCGTCGTCGCAGCCTCGTGGCTACCAGCGGAGTGGTGAGGGTGATATGAGAAGATGATGACATGGTGGTGCCATTTTTGAATTGTATTTGAATTTGCTAAGGTGTCTTGCGATGGCAAACTGTGATTGGTCCATTTCATAATTTGTTTTTTTAATAATAATAATAATCAGAATAATTGGAAATGGATGTGTTGTGTTGTTGATGGGCATATTTGTCACGTTTTACTACATACACCCCACTTGAGCCCATTGTAATTGTTTTTTGGATGAGCTGATTACTTTTATTTAGCACTTTGGACTGGGCCTAGATTAGAATTACTTTAACACATCCTGATTCAGCACCACACTCACTTGCTTTCTTATTTTATTTTTATTTCTTTTTCCTATTTCCTTTTTTCAATTGTTTCCTTTTATTATTATTTTTCTGATTTCAATATTAAAAATAATTTAAAATATTAGTAAGGCATGAGATACTTTTAGGAATTTTATTTTATCATTTTAATCTTTTTTTATATGCTTTGATTATTGAATCTTGATTCAATTATTTCCATGCTTTGGATGAATTTTCTCATTGATCTTTGTGATATTTCTTTGTGATGTTCTTAAGGCATAAGTTTGGTGACTAATCTTGACATGTTTTATGCTTTTTTTGTTGACTTG